ACATAGTGAATCGACCGGGAATCATGCACCACTTGTAATGGGACCCTCGAGGCGACATCAGTTTTGTTTTTGTTATTTGGGGTAGCTGGGTTTTTGCTTCTGCTACGCTTCATTTCCGTTTGTCTTGTTAGGCTCTGTTTCAGATGTGTGAAGGCCACAGGGTCATTTATATAGCTTTACCGTACTCTCCATTTTTCTGCCATTGATTTGGACATTGCTCAGGTAATCTATTGATTCATTCACTGTTATCCACAAGTGTCTTATTGACTGATTCATTGATTCACTATTAGGAATTGATTGATTTACTCTGTGCAATTGATTGATTGGTTGATTGATTGATTGATTCGGTCAGTCAAGTGCGTCACCCAGTGGCGCGAGTGGGTATACAGACAGCTTGTGCCTGTGAAAATGCACACAAGCTGCGTATGACTGGGAAGCAATTGTAATATTCTAGAATTTCGAGGGATAACAGCACTTGTACCTCTCTCGACGAATGCTCTATCTCGATGTATTATATTGATGCAAATCTTGAGTTCTTACAAAAATAATTTAATGAGGTGGTTAAATGGAACAATTCTTAGGCACTCCGTAAAAGGGGAACATGGAATTATTGCTCACAGTGGGGTGTTATCGAAGTGCACTGAAATATTCGGGTCTACATAAATTCTGCAACGAGTAACTTCGCAAAAATTTGTTAGTGTGCTGGTTGGTATGTGCTCATTCTAATAAACAAGACGCGCTTTTTTTACTACCATACAAAAATAATAAACAAAAACCTATCAAACCAACACTAAACCAAGGCGAATGCAAGGACATGCACGTCCATATATATATATATATATATATATATATATATATATATATATATATATATATATATATATATATATATATATCGGATCCTGCCCACGGCAAGTTATCTTTCCAGCCACTTTTCTTCATATTTACATTACCATTCGGTCTAATATCTTCCCCTATATTTTCCTTGGCGTTATTGTCTGTTAGATCTTAATAATATTGTGTAAAACACAGAAAAACGAGCCCTTAATATACACTTCTTTCCTTAATATATATATATATATATATATATATATATATATATATATATATATATATATATATATATATATATATATATATATATATATATATCTTTCGTCCTCCTCTTCTTGTTTCGTTCATGCGCATCGGCTCGGTGGTGTGACAAGCGAAACATCAGTACAGGTTTTCCAAGGAAATACTCACAAATCGTGTTAAAGCCATTTCAAATATACATACCAATTTATATAAGTACGGGGTAAAATCTCACCCAGCCTTGAGCTCCTCTCATACACGCTGACCACCACTGCACCGGGAATCAGATGGAGAAGGACACTTCAGTGTAAGGACAGGACGGGCGACGAAGCCAGCGTGAGTCGCGTGTTGGACATACTAATCATAATAACTCGCAGACTATAACGCAAGGTAGAAACGTACATAATTAAGGCAGATTTTCGAAAACAAAACAAAACTGCATTGTGTGTAGTCTTCTTCCACTCCCTCTTTATTAGCTTTGTTGCCATGCCACGATAGCCTTGCACAGGGCCTGTAGTGTAGGGAGCATTAAACATTGTTTTCTCGCTTTCAGAGAAACTTGAACGTTATGCCAGTTGGTGCTTGCTCCGTCTACGAGGTGCTGTTTACGCGTCTATGATGTGATTTAAAGTTAATTTTTCAGAGAAAAAGCTGAGAAGTTGGCATGAAATGTCACACTATGAAAAGTAGATGGACTGTGTGAGTATAGTTATGAGTGATGATGAGGGATGGTGATCATAGGACACTGTACGTGATTTACGCACAGACGCACAACACAGTAGCTTTGAACGAAGGCTTGTGAGCTCAGTAGGTGGCCATACAGGACTTACTTCAGCTAAACGGACGTCATAGCGTTCTTAAGGATGATAGTCCTTCTCGGGCTACTTGAACGCAGAAAGCTTGGTCTGTCTGTCACACGTTTTAGCTAGCCGGCCAACGTTTAAGCATTTGCTGGAACGCCCAGCTGAACGCACAGCTATCTTGAACAGGTGGCTACGTTCATACTTGTGAACATTGTCGATCAAAAATCAAATAAAAACGCATATCTGAGGCGCATCATCAATACTTGTTTATTAGCTGTGTGTTCATTAACTAAAAAAAGACATAGATACAAAATTTCAATGATCTTGGTGTATCTTACGCAGTGCAAAAATGTGATGCTATGCATGACAAAGACGGCTGGCAGACGACTATAGTCTTTTGCAGCGAAGCAGGCAGATACGCGGTCATTTTTTTAAGAAGCAATTATAGACGTGGAGAGCTTCGAGTAGCCCATATGCACCCACTTCAAAGCCCCTGAGGTCGCGAGAAACCGGGGTGGCGCATCAAGCTATAGGCAGGAAACAGAAACGGTGCGCGGTGGTGGTTTGGTTCCCTTTTCAACAGCGTTCCGCGCTAGCGCCTCCCCGCCTATGAATACGCATGTCCCCCTTCCCACCCTGACGGGGGTGCATGTGAGCTCCCATTGCCGAACCCTCCCGGCTGTTCGTGCTCTAGCTGCCTCCAATAGTGCGTGTTCGACTGTACCAAGGTTGTGTTCCTCCTATATATGCGCAGTGCCTTCTCTGCGGTCGTACGTGCACGCGTGAAGGGCGGGCTGATTCAACCGAACAACGGCAGCGGATGCGTGAGCTCTGTCCTCTCATACACATTACGTAACACGGTCGCCGAATGATGGACTTACCTCTTTCACCGGATTGTGTGCAAGGGCTCAGATGCACCTCGCTTGGACCCCGCAGCTTGCTTTATCCGTTTCTTCTAATGGCGCGGAAGGAGCGAGTGTCGTTTACGCTCCTATTGTTGGTAGTTGGTGAGAAGAGAGCGTACAAAAGTGACTAGTGCACTCGAGTTACGTGCGTGCACAGCTTCACAATAAATGCAGAGATCGGATTGAGAGAAGGCTATATATAAGTAGCTTTCTCGGAGTGAAACGCGACATATAATCTTTAACAAACAAGTGGTATATGTAGCACGATATAAACAAGCCGTGGGACTACAAATATGGCCTACTTAAAGGTGATGTTATCTCGGATGTTAGTCGACGAGTGAACATTACGCCCACGCTACGCGAACTAGAGACGGTCAAAACAAAAGTATGGGCATTAATTATCTCACTCTCATTAGGCCTTCTTTCTCCCTCGGAGGAGGCACTGTATTTACAGAGGAAGTTAAGTGTCTCATTCGTATAATTTCAGGCCCAGAAGCAGCACTGTCGCTACATAAGAGGCCATAGTGAAAGATTTCATATGGTTGTTTCTCATTTTACGTTTTGACCTAAATCAAAAAGTTAAATCGCATTTCGTATGACGTATCTGTCAAAATCCGGTCACTGCTTTCGGATATTAAATGTGCGAACTCCTTGCTCGCTAGATCACCAAAGACATTGCGCCACCACTGTGAGTTGTTGTGAAGAAACTTTCTAAACTTCCCAGAAGTAGTCGGGGTATCTTTTGTTTTTAATTAATTTGTCTTTCTCAGCATACTTCTTGAGAAAAATGCTAAGGCACATACAACCACAAGAAAATAAAAAGTATGTGAACTACATAGTTTTCTTCACTAACTCATATGACTGTTACGTTCGCAGGTTTGCCCTATTTCGAGGCACATAAACAAGAAACTACTCAGTCAAGCACCAACTACATTATGCCGTTTTCAAAGCAATTTATTTTGTCAGTTCTATACAATTACAACGTGAATTGATGCCAAGGTACAGAACATTGCTGCGTCGCTGATAGTCGCGTTCCGCATGCATCGTATGTATATGTACATGTTTCAAAGGGAAGCTGGGCAATGGGGGTCGAGGAATGGTGCCTAATGGCTAGATGGCTAGCTTCCTACAGTCGAACGAAAATTGCTACCACATGGTTGTCAGATAGGAGTGTGCGCATGTAGATACACATATAACATCGGGCTACTAGCGCAGAGTAAAAGGCGTTGCTCGAACTTTATAAGGTATTCTGTCCCCAAATCCGTCACCTGAATTGACTAGTTTCGGAAATATCGCGCCAAGTGGTCGGAGCAATGGAATATATGGTGTGAAGAAAACACTTCTGAGATGTAAGCAGAGGAACCTGTTTTTTCTGTTTGTTATTTTCCAAGTTACGTCATCGCTAAGTGCTCCCGTGAATGGACATGCAATATAAAGTCATGACATGATTGAAAATCCATCGCTGTATGCCGAGTCGAAAGTTCGGATACACGTAACTAAAACTATCAGTCTGGATTATGAACAAATTAATTCGGCCTCCACTGCTTAGGGCCCGTATTGGGCAACGGTTCCATTTTCCTTCTGCTTTCTCCTCTCCCGCAACTTCGTCATAGGATATCACGAATCCGCGTCTCCACTGTAAATTAAATCGGCCACTCGGCAGTACTCTGTGTGATAATCGAACAAAACTAAAAAAATAATTCTTGACCTCATGCGGCTCTTAAGGTCTCGCCGAGGGAGGGTCGCATCCTGCAGCCCTTGAGTCCATTCGAGTCTCTCAAGTGGCGATATCAAACATCTTTCCTTAAGCTGCAATGTGTAAGCGCATCGGTGACAGATTTCTATACTTGCCCGTACACTTGTTTCGGTCTCTTGAGATAGCTGGGCTAGCAGGAAGTTCCCCTGTATTAGAATGTAGGTGGTAATGAGAGCTCATTCTTGCATTTTTACTGTTTCTGTCTGATACTTAAGGTGACTACTTCATGATACAGGAACATTCTTTGCCCTGAAGCCGTTGAACGTGCTACGGCTATTGCCATAAAACCTTGAAGGCCGTTAACAACATCGAGATCTCCCTGTATTTTTCGGAAAAGAAAAGCAAAAAGAGCTTCGCAACAAGGATGAAGAGGGGCGATACATTCTACGCTGCACTATGCGGAATATGTGCCCACTGATGCGTGACCTGCTGCACTGAAAGTGCAGTGTGCTGCGTGGACGCCTAAGCGCTCTCCGACACCGTGACAGCCGGTGGCTTCAGCATGGCTGCTGACTGAAGCATGACTGCCTGGGAGTGCTCGCGGGCCTTGCGCCGCAGCTCGGACACGCTGCTGGTGGTGGTGACTTCGTCAGAGCCGCCATTCACGGTGCCACCCGTGCTGTTGCATCCTGTGCCGCTAGGCAGCGCTGGTGCGCCGGAAGTGATGATCGCGCTGCTGCCGCCTCTGGTGCCACTGTTGCCTCCGGCGGCAGCGCTCGCGGCGGCGGCAGCGGCGGCAGCCCCCAATTGGCTCAGCGCCGCAGCCGCGTGGTGGTTATCGGTGGAGGAGGCTGCGTGGTGGGGCGGTGCCGCCGAGTGCGCGGGAGCCTGGTGCGGCGCGCCATGGGATTTGGCCACGCAGCACGCGCATAACGGGTGCATGCCTGCGAAAGAAAATGGTATGGCCACTGCTTTAACGGCGACAACTTATCGTAGTTTCCGTGTGGTCTGCCAACGCAAAAAGAAGACTGACGAAAAATAAAACATAATGTACATATATTTCTCCTAATGAGCTGAAGAGCATTGAAATAGACTGATTCGCACGTAAGTGTTTCAATGTGTTCAACTATGCCACTTACAACACTGGTGACCACCTGACGACAATGCACTCCCTCGCTGGAGCAGGATAGGCCACCCTGGTGCAGTACTTGGCTACCACCTCCAAGGGAATTACTAATGAGCTTTCGGCCCTCAGTACTCCACATTTTACAAAAGCGAGCACTTAGAATAATAGATAATGTGGCATATAATGAAACCAACGCACCTTTGTTCTACAAGTTGGAAATTCTACCTTTCGATTACATTCGGCAACATAAAACCACTATCATCTTCAGTATGTCAATGCACACAGTTTACCTTTCGATGTATCTATCTTTTCCTTCTCCTCCCGCGTCACTAGATGCATGATATTGCGTAATTTTAATCTTCCATCTACTAATGATGTCTATGTTGAATGCTTACTACATTTCGTAGGAGCTAAAGCGCGGAGTAACCTACCACTTCAGAATAAAGATACTAAGGCTTTCTCAAACACACTGAAAAAATGTTTGGTACATGTAGAACAACAGCGGGGATCATGTACAAAACCTTACACATAGTTTAATGTTTTGTCTGTACATGTTTCTTTGATTGATTAAGAACAAAGTGTAACAATGTTATAATCTTTACATTTCTGTACGTGCTATCATGCATTTACGTCACCTTAAATTCTAATGAAATCTTTCGTGTGTTCTTGTTCGTTTTCCTAAAGAAAAGTTCCTTTAATGTTGTCATGTTTTATGCAGTTTGGTATTCTGCTTGTACACCTTCTCCCGTTAGAACCCTTACTAGCCTATGGCTATGAGTCTAATCAGTGTTGTGAATTTACGTGAACTGTATTCAAAACAATCTCAATGAATCTTGAAATCTCGAAATCTACTGAGCAATTTCGAAGCAACTGCCCCAGGCGGTGGTCAGAACTGCGACGCTGCGGAGGGTGCTAAGAATATCTGGGTCTGAAGGAAAGAAGTGTAAGTTTAAGGGCCCGTTTTCTTTGCTAACCGCAATACTAATGAGAACTGACAGATAATGATGCCAAGGAAAGTATAGGGAATGTTATTAAAAGTAATTGTAATGTACATGTTAAAAATGAAAAAAGTGTAGCAAAAAACAACTTCCCCCGGCAGGATCCGATTCTTTGACCTTCGAACAACGCGTCCGATGCCGTACAACTGAGCTTCGGTGGTGGTCATCTAACCATCCTGTTTATGGGATATATATGTGCATTCAAACATGGGAACGTCACTCAGTGCCATTTATTGCCACTTCAGCGAGTATGAATTCCTGTTTTTTTTTTTGCCAGTTTGCGTGACGTAATACATGATTGCATACTAGTTGGCAGATGCCCAACAATCCCTCGCATACTTCCTGAGCATCAAGTCTGCCAGAACGAGATTGATTGATTTGTGGGGTTTAACGTCCCAAAACCACAATATGATTATGAGAGACGCCGTAGTGGAGGGCTCCGGAAGTTTTGACCACCTGGGGTTCTTTAACGTGCACCCAAATCTGAGCACACGGGCCTAAAACATTTCCGCCTCCATCGAAAATGCAGCTGCCGCAGCCGGGATTCGAACCCGCGCCCTGCGGGTCAGCAGCCGAGTACCTTAGCCACTAGACCACCGCGGCGGGGCTGCCAGAACGAGACCCTGGCTATGAATGAAGAAAAGAAGTGTCTATTGAAGGGCCCGTTTTCTTTGTCAAACACAACAATAATTAGAACTTACAGACAATGATACAAACGAAAGTATTGGAGATGTCATTGGAAGTGTCATTGGAGATGCTATCATCGCTGCTCTGTCAAATATAAAGTTTTAAGTAGTGACGATCCACATTTACGTGAGTAGTATTTGCACCTGTGGGAAAAAAGCACTAACAATTTCAGCGGAAACTAGCTGGTACGACTGTCTTTCACAGGTAAATGTAAGGCACGCATGGGTTCTGCAGGAAGAGCCTATATATTTTTTTGGTTGTAACCGAGTATAAGCTCACACAAGATTTCTCTAAATGCCCATCCCTGTCAATTGGTAATGAAATAACGTTATAAGTTTACTACCCCCATAATAGTTGAATTTTTTCCGTATTTCTCAAAATCAACAAATCGAGAGCAGGCATGTTTGTTTTTAGTAACGATTGCACATCAGCTGCAGAAATAAGCGATAAGACTGTAAGCCAAAAGATCACATGCCTTCTTCGATTTACGTGATGCAGTATATATAGCATCTGGTTATTGCGAAACGGGCGCAAAAAACAAAATCTAGAATGCTTATTTCAATTATCAGATCGTTATTATTATATGGTTATTACCAATGAATATTAATGTCGGATTCAATGGCGATATACGAAATTATATTGGACAAAAAGTCAAAGACAGCGTACCTTTGAAAGGGAACGAGGCTGCGGCTGCCGCTGCAGCGGCGGCATGCCCCGCAGCAAACTGCGCTGACAGGTGGGGCGGGAAGTACATGGGGGGCAGAGAAAAGCGCGGGTGTGGACCCAGCAGCGAGTCCTGCGCCGAGCATCCCCCGCCGGCCCCGGTTGCTCCTCCCGCTCCTCCACCGCTTCCCGCGCTCACACCGACGCCCGGTGGTCCACCGCCCGGCCCACCCAAACCTCTGCAGCACAACGATTATTTCGTCAGTCACGTCCTACTAGGAGTTGACGGCGGGTTACTTCTAAACGGGAAGGAAGCATTTCTTGGTAAACCAACGACTGTGATAACGACATCATTTTATACCCTCATATTGCGGACTTCCAAACGTCTTTCCCATGTGGAGTCTTCTAGGGATGGGGCGCGAATCTATGCTGCCAGTTCTCTGACATTACGACGTCGTGGCATCAATATGTGTAACTATATGGGTGAAGATGTTTCGATGGCTGCAATACAGCTCAGGGCTGCCAGAGCAGAAGCCCTTTGCTTCTGCACAGAAACCCACAAGCACATGCTTCATCGTGCCAATACAAACAACCTGATCTGAATGCCCCACGTACAGGCAAACGCGTTGAGACACTTGGTGCCTTTTTCATGGGACAGAACACGCCCCGTTGGTTTCGTGACGGGCATACATTATCGTGGTACGAAGCTTGCGCCGCCGTGTGAGTCACTGCTGATGACTCTTAGGTATCTTTTTCGGAACCATTGCGAACTCATTAAAGCTGTCGTATTGTAGCATCGCTAGGCCCTGTCACAAGAAAACTATGGATATTCTGGATGCAAGTAATGGCCACCATCACGTGGCGGAGCATTCCTATTTTCTCGACATACTTGCACACGTACTTAGACGTCAAGTTTCACTCTAAACTAGCCTCTTTTAGGGTTTTCTTACGTCATAAGCATGGCAGCAACGTTCACATCACGCACATAACTACTCGATTAGCTGACGTCGGTTCACACCCCGTCACATTTGGCTCAGCGTCAGACGAGTTGAAATTTAGACCACATGGTTTGTGATACTCAAAGAATTTCAACAAATGAACGGGACAAGAGAAAAGACAATGAGTCACATTTGTTAGTTCTAGTGGTGTTTGCGTATGCCTCTTTCTTGTGTCCCGTGCTTTTGCTGGCTTTCTTCCCGCAGCAACGTCAGCCATTGCACGGCATGGTCATCTCCTTGTGGACTGCTCACATAACATCGATTCCCGCAATAGGCGGGATCAGCCGGTATTTTTTATCACTAATTTCTTAATCTGAAGAGCAGCATAAATTAAGTTTGAGCCGGGCAACCAGAACTCAACACTAGACATCCATTCACCAACACGTTCCGAACTTAAATAAACGACATGTCAAGTCGGAGTGCGGTGTCAGGGCCACGCAACTACCTCTGTTGTCAAAATTATTTGAACCATGCATTTGCTACGCATTATTCATTAAGTTAAAAATAAAAAAAAGTCTCTGACTTTCTTTTTTTGCTATACTGTGGTGCATGGTGTAGAGCTGTATTCTATTTTAGCACAAGACGATACGTTTTGGCAATCTTAATATTTACTGAAGCGTTTGCAATACAGTTTGGCGGGTAACATGCAAAGCTGGATGGATGTTGCTCATATGGCGTTCTCTCTGTATATAACTTGTTCGTTCTCTTCCTCAAAGTATCATCTTACGGGCAGCAAAATGTCACTCTGGTAAAAAGCCTGGAAAGTCGGTGTGTGATCTTGACAAGCCGTGAGCACAACCATTATATTTGAGTTGAAGGTTATTTTATTGCAACATCAATTCTATGGAAACTCACAATAGGCTGTTGCCGTCGTTGTCACTGTCACCGTCATGCTCCGTATGAAGTAAAAAAGTATAACATCCCCCGCGCATCGTACCTGTGATAAAAGTGTGCGGGTTGGTGCGACGAACGCGCTGAAGAGATGAAATGAGCCTACCCATCTCCGTCGCACGGAGAGCATGTGCGATAACATCACTCCGTGTGTGAGAGTTGCCGTTGATTACTACTAAAGCAGAAATGAAACTTCCCGCCTGTCTTGATCGAGCATGGCGGAATACGGGCAGATTTATCTCGAGCAGCAACCGTGCACTTAGTTTATAAGGGCGCTGAAACTGTGTGTGTCTGTGTGTGTGCGTGCGTGTGTGTGTGTGTGTGTGTGTTATTGGTTATACTCAAATGAAACATGCACAATGAAGTTTACCCACGTGATCAAAGAGAACTGAGACGTCAGCAGGTCGATAGGCAAAACCGCAAAAATGTTGGCCGAAATAATGTACGTTTTCAGCAAAAGTGGTCACTTTCAAATAAAAACTATAAAGCAACCTTTTAATCTGTGAAATTCACGTTAATTAAACAGCGTCTGCGTGTTCGTCGAATTGTAATTATACCATCAGCAGCAGATCCCGGGAGGTCAATACGCCAATAAATGCCAATCAATGCTTCCATATGTGTAGTACACTCACGAGTCAGCGAAGGCGGAGAACAGCGGGTGCTGGTGCATGCCTCGCAATGGCAGTGACGCAGCGGCCGCGGCGGCAAAAGACGACAAAGCGTCCTTGAAGAACGGATGCTGCTGTTCCATGACAGACGAGACGGACGAGGGCACCGAGGACAGACGGGACGTGGCACTCAAGGGAGGTGGCAGCAGCGACAGCGGGGCTCTACCTGCGGCTGCCGCAGCTGCCAGCAGAGGTGACGAACCCATGGCTGCCTCGTGAGCCTTGGCGAAAGCCTCAAGCCGCGACTGGTCGGCCGCGAGTCGCGATGGGTCGAGCAAAGAAGGCCCCGCACCGCCGCCATTGGTCGTAGAGGAGGCGGCCGCTGCCGCGCTTCCAGCCGAGTCCGACTGCGCCGACGCCTGGGACTCGTCGTCGTCCTCCTCGTGCACGGCCACTGAAGAGCTATGCAATGGGAGGAAAATGTGGACACGCACCGCGCTTTGGCAACGTAAACCTCAGACATGACCAATAAGTGCAAGCTAGTTGGCTGTCAATTCTGCTAGCTCGACCGCTTTAAAAGCTCTCTCCGAGGTAGTAACGAAGCTTTTCCGAACGAAATGCAGATTATGTTGGCGGAATCAAATAGGAGGTGTCATGGTGACAAGCGGATTGCGTGATAAGGATTGCACGACAATGGCAAAACTATAATGCCAAATCGGTAAACATAGTTTCGCATGCGTCTGTATACGGGGCTACGTTTTTTTTATTTGACGGAATTTTATTTTTAGCTCCGGTGCTTGCACAAATGTACTTGGAATAACGAATGAGTGCATCACATCCTCACTGATAATTCAAAGAAATATGTGGGCGTAGTTCCGTGCGATGTGAATTTTTACTACAGTACATCTATTATATCTAGACTGCTAAGAGATAGGGCTGCCTCACTGCCCCATTCCGAACCCTTGTGTTCCGTTCATCTGGGCACTGAAGTTTTACGGTTTCACTGCTGCGCCCTTCGTCACTACTGCGTGGCGGTACCTACGTCTATTATTTGACAATCACCAGGCGAAACTTTCTTTTTTCATATTCAACATTTGTTTTGGCTTCAACATCATATGGTTTACTATATAGCTATTACCATATTGCAAGTATGGCATGTAACCCGACACGTAATAAGTGACAGTTTAAAAAGAAACAACCAAAGCAAATGAAGATGCACGTGTAGGGGGTAACTAAAGCATGAAAGATTACGTTGGTTTTGTTCTCCATACTTAGGATGACTGTAAACTGAGTCTGTCACGCATCGCACTCAACTGAAAGTTCGACCTAGCAAGAAAACCAGCTAGTTTCACAATTACTGTTTTGTAACTGTCCCCCCCCCCTTTTTTGGGGGAGGGGGGAATTCCCGTTCCCCGAAAGCGTAGCGGAGAATTTTCGACTGGTGAAATTTTGACCAGTGACAAGTTAAAGAAAGATCAGCTCGTAATGGCATCTTGGGTTACATCATGATAGTTGTCTGCCATGGCAACATCGTCGCCATGGGCTGGCCTAAAGAGGTGCAAAAGAAGATCTCGCACCTGCTGTGCACGTTGGGCTTGTCAATCCTTTCGCCGGGGGAAAGTGGACTCGGGGGTCCGCCGTTGTCGCCACTTGTGGCCAGGTCACCACCTCCGGCTCCAGTGGCATCAGTGGCCGTACCACCGGAAGAGGCGCCGTCCGCTCCGGTCGCCGAGCGGTCTTTCTCTTCTCGTTCTTTGCGCAGCCGCTCGGCCTTGCGCCACTTGGCACGTCGGTTTTGAAACCAGACCTACATTGCGGTTATATGGCTGTTTGGTGACTTGACAAAATGTACGCCTTGTTATAAGACGGAAATTTTCCGTCAGTATTCCCCCCAAGAGAAAACAGCTGTCTGCAGCCCAGTAAACCGGACTTATCCCGGAAACAGTAACCAAGTTTGTGTTTGGCGGGGCCTTATGCTTATAACGCGTACCGAGTTTGCTGGTACACGAAGCGGCACATAGTTCACGCAGCTCATATAGAAATAGTGTCCCAAGCAGAAGGGCTGCCGAGAAGCGGACGTTCACAACAATCTTCTAATGGTTTTAGTGCATTTTATTAGAACGTCAATATAGCTAACACCTTTGCGATCTGTCCGGATTACTCTCGAAATATACTACAACGTGAACTAATTTCTTTTATATGTCCTTTGCAATAACGCAGGCTATGTTCTGTGTGTTACAGCAACGACGTTTTGGAAGGGCAGAAATGAAGAGAAAAAAAATATTCTTCTGCATGTAACGCTGCTTAGGCTACCCAGACAAAATACCGTACCTAGTTCATTTTAACAAAATGCACACACAAAGCTTTTCAGTAAGCAATTTTGATTAGGAAAAATCATGCTATTCCCTTCGCTTTTGCCATTATTTCGGTAATAATGCCGGTCTCAGTTGAAAAGGTTGACTGTATGCGCCATGGCGTCTGGATAATTGAGAACACGGCCATATGTACTCCGTAACCTGAAATAGTGTTCTGCGTAGCATGTAAGTCCGCTTTCTGTTCACAGAGTCTCCTTTTCACCCCCTTTCAATATGACCAGTTGGAGTCGGCCTCCCTGTGAAAATCATAAAGTGGAAAGCGTGTTTGCAAAAGATAGCCTCTATAGGCACGCATTACCAGAATATTACATGCGCTAGAGGGCTTCGTAAGAACAAAAAATGGCTCGTTAATTTTTATAATAAAATACTTATTATCGTTGAAAGAGTCTGTAATGAAAAAAAAACCGAATTCAGCCCATTATGCCTACTAAAGTATGGTGTTTGGAAAGGCTTTCTGTGACTCGTATAAACTCTTGCGCAAACTTTCTAAATGGCCTTTCAATATTTTTTACGCAGACATACATGTTGAAATGCTTTGCGTATGAGTTTGACGCGTGAACTTATACTACTGAACAAAGTTCAAGGTTTCGCATATTGTGTTTCTTGGTTTTACTCAATATGGCACACTTCCTACAAGTCCAAGCAAGATGAGTAAAAAACAAACTAATAGAAAGAAATTTAATAAAGTTTGAAATATCAAAGCATGGCGAAAGGCAATAAAAAGATATTTCCGTGAGTCGAAGTGGGAGGAGAAGAAAACAAATCTTCAATAAATGAATTCACGTTGAATATGGTGTCTCTTAATTAGTATATGATGGTTAATATAGTATAATTTGATGTTGAAGACGAAAACTGGATCGCAGGGTGAATACTGATTCCGGATTTCTATGCTAGAAAAGAAATTGTACACGTAAGAGTTTTCATTATTTCTCCAAACGATTGAATGCCATTAGCCTGAATTATTTCAGTGGGTGATTGATTGATATGTGGGGTTTTACGTCCCAGAACCACCATACAAATATGAGAGATGCCGTAGTGGAGGGCTCCGGAAATTTCGACCACCTGGGGTTCTTTAACGTGCACCCTAATATGCATGAGCACATGGGCCTACAACAATTTCAGTGGGTGAGTCTTGCAGAGAACGTTTAAACAGACCTCAAAGCTTTCCTCTGAACCTTTTCGAGACGGGTAGTATTGTTTAGTAAACGGGTGCCAAACAACGCATGCGTATTCACATTTTCGTCTATGTTCAATTGTACACAAGTAATTTTACATTGCAAGCAGATTTTAAGCTTATATCTTACAATTATAAATAATGTATCTAGAATAATATGTAACTAGAAGAGTAGAAGAGTAATGTATCTAGAATACTGTATCTAGAAATCTACCTATATAAATATGCGAATTCCCCTATAAAATTTTGGTGATTCGCATATCTTATCGACGCATGGCTGCAGATATTCTTTTTATTTAATGCACCAATCTCTAAATGTGAGATAGTCGGCTGTTGAATGGTGTACTTCTGGTTATCAGTTATTTCGACACACTGCTTATCACTTTATTTCTCGCAGTAAAATGATTATTGTAAACCTATAGTCATTAGTACCAAAATCAGTTCGACTAAGCTCATTCAAAGCAATGGGCGAAATTAATGGCGCGCTATGAAGTACAACATGACTTCGATACTAGAAATGGCTTCACGCGTTCACATGCTCACTTCTTCATGGCTTAAGCTCGGGTGGTTGTATGAGGAATAAATATTGCCCTGCAAGAATCTCAAATCAAGGCTTGAACCCTAAGTGCAGTGTATTCCTGCAATATTGTCACATATTTTTTTTATTGGGCTATCACTACGCCGACAACTTTTCGCGCTAATCATCGTCCAGCATACAGCGTTATTGAATCTGCTGACGATAACTTTGTCACGACGGTGATGTCTGAGGTCGTGGGACGGGGTCACGGGCTCAACAATGTATTTGACAGGGAACGTGTGTCTTTTGGTACGGCAGGGGCCATCATAGCGTGCAAAAAGCTTGCTTGTAAGGCCAGAGCGGCATACACAATCAAACGAGAGAACCATTCGGAAGTCTGGTGAAAACGTGCCAACGTCATGTCGCAGTATTTCGTGACCCCTAGCGCCGGTTGTAAGTTTACAAGCGAGCTGCTCATTATCTCTATATCTCGCCGCTTCAGACACCTGCGTGCATTCGGAAGCGGCGGGTCGGTATGGAAGCAGTGTGTCAAAAATACAAGAAGGCTCTCGGCCGTACAGTGATAAAAACAGCGAAAAACCAGTGGTAGCTTGTGTGCCAATGTTGTATGTGTGAGGGGCAAATGGTAAAACAGCCTTCCAGTTACATGTTAACCGATGCGACGTACATAGTTATCATGTTACCAAGTGTGCGGCTGAACCCCTGCGTCAAGTCGTTCGTCTGCGGGTGGTATTCGGCATACTTAAGGTGAATGATGCAGCATTCAGCGAAAAGGGAATAGTTAATAGCCTATGAGGATTGCAGGAGGTTTGTGGAATGAGAAAGAAAGACGCTTGAAAGCTATGCATCCTCAGCACTGCTAATTCACCAATTGAAGTTGAGTTTCATGCACCTAAGGAGAGATACAAGCCTATAAGTTAGAGCTCTCAGTTCACATGGCTGTCGGAATCTCAAGCTTTCAATGGCCGTTCTGTTGAGCAAGCTTTTATCATTATTCGTTGGCTGTAATAAAACTCGTAGATTCTGCCCCCGTAAGGTGTAATTGAAGCACTGCATCGTTGGAAGATCGGGTATTCATGTATCTTCTAATTACATGGTGACTACAGTAAGCGTGATGATGTTCTTAATAATAGCAGCAGAACATGCACAACTTCTGCACTGACTATTGGCCCTTATAAGTGCGCCTCAGCGGCTGTAAAATAAAACGGCACTTCGCACCAGTTTTTGGTGCAAGTATAGTTTAAATGCAGCTAGTGCAACAAGGTGAAGTCATCATTAACATTTTGAACTCTGTATGTTTACACGAATGTACAATCTTGGGAATATACGTAAAATTCAGGTGAACGCAAGAAAATTCAACGACTCTAGCTGTAGGAGACGCAGCACAACACCTTAGTATACAAATGTGGCCTGAATACCTTTAGTGATTACGGCGATTTTGACTGAGGGACGCTCGGAATATTAATGAAATGGCCGTCCGACCATCGCTGCCTATAAGTGCCCTCAAGAGCGAAATTCTCTCGATCTTTGACGTTTTAAATACACCACCATTCAGAGGCGCAACACCAGTCCTAAGGTCGTTTCCATACAGTGAACGCCAGCCATCGGAAGAGACACCTTCAACAGTGCCAAGAGAAATCAGCGTAGGAGCGGAGTATATAATCGCTAATACCACCACTGAATTCCCCCTAATATCTCGAGTGTCACGTTTAAATATTATCGAACGCGGAAGCGCGTTACACGGTCCTTGCACGTCTCTATCCCTCAAGACGTATACGGTCTCTAATCTTGAGCTGCCCCTCATCTACCTCTCCAAGCACGGGCGAGGAAGTTTCGGCGCCCGCTCACTGCGCGAGATCCTTTTCATTTGTGATTGCGCACGCGCCGCGTGTACGGTTGAGAGCAGAGCAGCGTCAAGCAGGTCTGCGGCGGCGAAAGCAGCCCAAGCGGTTGCCACGGCTTCGGCCGAGGCGACTGCGGCGGCGTGTGATTTACGCGCGCGTCGGTCGGAGGGGGCTAAGTGAAACAAATGAGGCGGATTTTCTCCAGCGCGGCTGCTCTTCGCGGTCCAGCCAAAGCCAGGGCGGCCCCACGACTTTCCCGCCATTGGACGGCCGACTCAATTAGCCCCCGCGTCAGCCGACCGAACCGCGCGCCAGGCTATGACCGCGCCGTCGCTTGGCCGCGGCTCCCGGGTCTATTATAAAGGACCCTCCCCTTCACCCACCATTCCCACCTTTCTTCGCGGCTCGAGTCAAGCGAAGGGTGCAGCGAATGCCCGCTTTGTTTAGCGGAGTGCCAGTCTTGCTGGCTCTTCTTTTGGGCTTTGTTTCCCGACTTATTTTGCTTTTCTCTTCTTCTATTCTACATTTACCACTTATACTTTAGTCACTTTGCGCTGCTCGACAGTGTACTGCAGGTAGCCTGCCCAGTGCAGGTGTGGTGGCTGCTTCGAAAGGACACGAAATGCGCGAACGGCACTGTGCGCTGCAGCTATGCGTTATCCTCTCGCCACGTGCAGGGTAGCAAACTGGACAAACTCTAGTTAACTTTCCCGCTTTTCCCGTATTCTCTCTTTTGAATATATTGCGCTCCGAAAGTGCACCTCTGTCGAAAAAAGTATTATTAGCAGTGTGTGTTCCGGTGAGAAGGGATATTTGACGTTTCATTTGCCTTTTACAAGCGCAGCATGGTAGGTGTTCGTTATAAAATATTGTTAGCAGCTTCGCTAGTGCTTTCAAGTTTAATTGCGATACACAACTTTGCAGCATACTGTGAATGCCGTCCGACTTTTTTTTCCGCATAACATGGGATATGCTCAAGTGTAGCAACAGATGTAGGGAATAAGTTGTGCTTGAGCAGAGTATGACGATGGGCGAGTCGGTGCATGCATAGCTTAACGAAATATTTTTGACGCATCTGAGAACACGGAAGAAAAGGTGAGAAAAGACGGCACAGGGCACCCTGTCCAGTCGTCTTTCACTTCGCTTTTTCTTCTTGTTCTCAGATTCACCGCGAACATTTACTTGATATAAGTCATACGCTCATTGCATTCACTTCCACCTGGTAGTGCTTTGTGCGTGACACCCATGTTCCCCTTCTATTCCACCAGTCCTAGATTTGTCTGCAAACTGGCATTTGCTTCAAGGCATGCCAATGGCATAATAAATAAAACACTTGCTAAACCGCAGGTCGTGGGATCGAATCCTGGCAGCGGCAGCAGCATTTTCGATGCAGGCCGAAACGCGCGAGGCCCGCGTACCTGGATTGTGCACGTTAAAAAACCTCATGTAGTATGGAATTTCCGGAGCCTTTTACTACGTGTCTCTCATAATTATATCGTGGTTTTGGGACGTTAAACACCAACAGATATTATCTATCGATGGAACGCTTTCCTACCTGGACCCTAGCCTCGGTGAGGTTTATCTTCATGGCGAGGTCCTCTCGCGTGAACACGTCCGGGTAGTGAGTCTGAGCAAACGCCTTCTCCAGCTCCTCCAGCTGCGCAAGGATAAGAAGGAGGTGGCGTATCTGTATTAGCATATCATCGCAGTTTACCGTTGTTTCGCATACGTCATCAATACCAGATGTGTTAAGAAAGCAGCCGCTCATAAAAAGTTTCTAAATGCACAATTCACGTGGCCTGTTTTGGCAGCCCAGCTAAAGCGGGAACTTCTTTTTTTGCTCACACAGAGCATAGAAGTAGCGGCTCCCCTCGTCGCACCTTTTAAACCTCATTAAATTGGCTGCTATAGTTTTTTTGTGTGTGTTGGTGTGTGAATATTTATACCGACAATGACGAGTGTACAGTCTACCATGTACAGCCGTGGCCACTTCTGTGTAGAGCAGCCGGTTTTTGCTCTGCAGGTCTTAACCTTGAGGCAGTTTCAGACTCTTAAGTGGTGTATCAGGAGCATGCGTGGCCTAGTTGTCAGGCTGACCATGTCAGAGCCTGATGCTGCCTCAAGGTTTTGCCCCGCAGAGCAGAAACCGGCTGTTCGCGTTCTCTACACAGAAGTGGCCGCGGCTGTACGTCTTGTGGCTCTTGTGAGACACTTAAACATCAAATTTTAGTGTACCGCATTCTTTATGCAGCGGGCATTGCTAACTTGGTTATATAGAGTCATTGGACTTGAGTGCGCTGCCCCTGCTAACTGCCTTTTGCCGTAAATGTGCGCTGCTCGACGTGGCCGGGCTCACCGAGCCCTGCTAACTTTTGTAAACGAAGCCGATTTAGCATAGTATATGTAGGCAGTTTTGCTTGTTAATAATAATTATTCTTCTCCCCATGTGCGTTATTTCCTTACTCTCATATTTTCTTTCTTCGGTATATCTTCATCTCCTCTGTCTATTCACCTCATCTTGAAGCAGCCGGCAGGCACTGTCACCCTCTAGATGGTCGCTGCCACCATACTCTCTCCATGTTTCCTCTGTATGTTTGTGTACGCTCAATAAAAAATATAACAATAGAGGAACATGCACTCTCTTACCATCGCCTGTTTTTTACTGCTTTAACAGTACAGTTATCCTGCACAAGACTGGTGATGTCTTCTCCTCAAGATACCAAATGCATGCTTAGGAAGAAGAACAAAATGGCATAGACAAGCATGTGTGCATCTGCGGGCTTGTTGGTGCAAAAACAGGAAAGCATGAGCTCACCTGTTGGACGGTAAACGTCGTCCTGTTCCTTCGCTGCTTTCTCCGCACGAAGGCGTCTTCGTGAAGCTCCGACTGGTATCCATAGCTACCATCTGGAGAAAAAAAAATGTAATACAGGCTCACCACAGAAGAATTCCATTAGTTTCATAACATTGAGTATCGATGTAGACGTGCATGAATGTACAGGGTTAGAAATTAAACCTTGTTAACAATACGTGTTTTCTAAAAAAAATTAGAGCTTAAAAACCACATGGACGAAAAAATTAGGGAAACAACACGTGCGCTACGTTTTGTGTCCCTCCTACCTGAGTGCGGGTGGTTCTTATGAGCTAAAATTTCGTCAACATCTTGATAAATGTTCTTCTGCACGAATTATTTATAGTATGTATGTATGTATGTATGTATGTATGTATGTATGTATGTATGTATGTATGTATGTATGTATGTATGTATGTATGTATGTATGTATGTATGTATGTATGTATGTATGTATGTATGTATGTATGTATGTAATATCAGCGTCAAATGAAACCCGAACAGCGGCAAGCCTTCCTGATGGTATAGTGCGTGCCGTCCACTTACCACCATGAACAGGCGCGCGCATTCTGTTCGGCAGCTCTACGCATATATGCGTGCCTGTCCATGGTGATAAGTGGACGGCATGCACTACACCACTGGGAAGGCTAGCCGCTCTTCGGGTGTCATTTGACGCTGATAGTACGCCTGTATGCATGTGCCTATGTATCCCAATATTCGGTGGTAGGACACCTTACTCTTTAATGGAAACTACATAATTTAATCGAGTTCTTTCCTCTTCTGTGGACGCACTGTCGTGGCCATTTCTTCATCTTCATCGCTAGCTTTCGAGATATTTTAGTTTACAACACCAATTTGTTAGAATCGGAATACGTTACATGTAGCGGTTAAGTCTACCACGAGTGTTGCGCTTGAACAGATGGTAACATGGTGTTGTATCTTCGTAACGCACACAGATTCCACGTAAGTTAGATCAAATTTACTTTCAGTTTCAAGAACGCGTAGCTTAACAATCATTCACGCGCACGTTGGTTATGCCACTTCTTTAATACTTTTATTATAATGATGAAAGGAACCTGTCGGATATTGGTAATTTGTTTTAGAGTCATTACCACACATAAGACATGGCCGGTGGTGGTACATCTGATTTATTAGATGCGAAGCAGCTTATGGCGGAGTTCGATTCGATATGTGGTGTTACGACCCTTATTGCGCATGCGCGTCCTATCCTTTTCTCTCCTCTCCCACTGTCCCCTCTCTCCCCTCCCGTAACGTCTACACCCCTTCAGCGCATGTGCTTCTCCTGCACCTATGTCTCCTCTCCTACGCTCCTCCCTCCTTCTTCTCTAGGAAACGCAGGCCCGAGCGCACTAGTGCGTTCGGGCCTGCAAGTGGCTGTTTGAGGCCGCGTTCACACTTGGGCAGTGAAGAAAAAACGAAAACGCCAGAGCGGCCGGAAAACCACGACCCCGCGTGTCGATGTTGTTCACATTCGTTCAGCCTCATCCCGCCGCCGCTGCCGTCACTACCTTGACAATTAATTCGATTTTGCCTGCTTTCTGAGAACTGAAGTTCGTATTCTAGTCATAGACACAGAGTAGTGAGAAGAAACAGTTCGCACCTTTTCAAACGTTGTTTTGGGAGATACGCCAGCAGAAACGACACGAGCGAACGCATCGGCAGCGACGGCGCGGTTTCGACCAGCTGTACACAAAAGCGAGACATGTTGAGGCATGCCGACTCGCTGCCACTGCACCGTCTACTTCCCGAGTTCTCGGCGATCGTAATCCAAGTCAGGCTCTCGATGAACGCGTCCTCGTTGAGGCCATCAAGCTTCGTCGGGCTGCACGGGTAGTTTGCGACTTGAGCCAATGCGAGCCACTTCTGACGCTTGTGCCACCATGTTGTATATGCGACCGGCTGGTCAGGTCACGTAGTTTGATCTAGCGCAGCCAATTCTGTGAAGCGGAACGCGGATTCGGTTTCGCGTGGCGGACAAATTGGTCTCAGACCGAATATTGCGCGCCGGCTGCGCGTCGTGGTTTTCTGGCCTCTTGGGCGGCGAAACGAACCAGTTTCCGGAGGGTTTCGCTAGTTTTGCTCTCTTCAAGGCCAATTGTGAACGCGCCCTAAGAGGTTGTCGTCTCGCCCTCTTACACTCTCAGCAATCGCGAGATGGCGTCGGGGAACGAGATTCTGCAGACGCAGGATAAACCCACGTGCCCCTACATCACGTGGCGATGAACCAGCTTGGCTTGCTCCAAGAAGATTACGGGACTAGTAACAGCAACACACAAAAACTACAGTGAATTTATGGTCTGCTCCATTTGCAAGGGTACGTTAACATTGGACAAGGTGCCTGTGATGAAGCCGACTTTCAGTCAACCCATGAGCTGCTACGCATTCTACTCATGGTTTCCCATAGTGCGAGGTGATGTAATTTTTTCATGAGAACCATAATACCCAGACAACCTCTATACGTATTTATCAAGTTATAAAGGGTACTCAAATTACGCACCCGCCCCGGTGTTCTAGTGGCTAAGGCACTCGGCTGCTGACCCGCAGGTCGCGGGATCGAATTGCGGCCGCGGTGGCAGCCTTTTCGATGGTAGCGAGAAAGGTTGGGGCCCACGTGCCTAAATTTAGGGGCACGGTAAAGAACCACATGTGATTAAAATTTCCAGAGCCCTCCACTGCGTACTTCAGAATAGTATGGTGCTTTTGTGATGTTTAACCCCAGCAAATATTATTATACTCAAATTACTGCCGTGCTATGGAAAGCTTTTAAAAGGTACGTGCGAAGTTGAAAAGCCAATTGCGCAACATTGTTATGTTACGAAAGCATTCAGGTGAGATCAGTGCACCTGACGCTGGTTTATGTCACCACCTCTCTAGATTCTCTTGTCATGGTGGTGCCATGGGCTGTGCTTTGCCAACGTCTGGAAACCAAGTATGGCAAAGTGTGTTTAGATTCATCTATTCCGAAAGCGTTTCACCGTCTGTCATCGCCCTACCAGACTCAAGGAGCACTTCAAGCAACAAAGCAAACAAATTCATGCTACGCTCATTCAAAGTGTAGCAAAGCAATGGGCGTTAGTCACTTAGTGCGTGTGGCTGGTTATGCAGACGAAGAATCTTTTATGCAGGATTTGTCCGAATAGGGCTACCCTAACAGGGGAAACTTACAAATACACAGAGGTACCAAAAATTTAAGTGGGTGGGAAAGAAATAAAATTCGAGTAGAAGTAAAAAATATATGACAGAGACAACAAAGTGTGCAGCTTCGGGCTCCTAAATATAGTAACGAAGCACGCACCTTTTAGCGAGACCCATAACAATAATGAAATAATGAAATCTACAAATTACATAGTTACACCGACTCACCAACTCTTTCAGCCCACCCACAGGTTCACCCTTCCGTAGTACGTATGCTGCCATAACTGAACATAATTATTTGAACTGACTCTACCAAATCATCAAATGAACATACTAATCAGATGCATGTGCGCGTTCATCAATATACATATATACATATTTATATATAAATATATGCATATACATACATACATACATACATACATACATACATATATATATATATATATATATATATATATATATATATATATATATATATATATATATATATATATATACGGTACTTTGTTTACACGTAACGTAACTGTGTTCAAATTGATATAGACGACATGCAATTGCAATGATTAAGTGAGACGTGAACTGCTCTAACACGTCAACATGCACCGCGTAAAGGCTGCTCAACCGTTTGTATATTCTATCGTTACCGCGTATTCGGCTACAATCAAAAGTAGCAACGTTCTCATCATTTTATGTTACAATACACCTTTGCTAAACAAGGTGCAGGGCGTGAACGCAAACACTGCTTGACACAAGGTTATGGGCCTTGATCGTTGCTTCAAACAAGAGCTTGTTTGAGGATAAACGTTTTGTGGGCTGGAGGTAAAACTGATTGCCTGCATTGCATTTAAGCACTAGAGATAACAACAGGAACAAGGTACCGTAGGGGCGGCCAATGTTTTGATAGGATGAAATATCCTTCTAAAATTCGCCTTTTTATCCTTGGCCTGTTCGATATGCATAGCATATATTATAAACCACTTTGCCAAGGTTTCACTTCGCGTAGTCGCCAACGTCTGCCTTCCATCTGCACAACTTTTCTTTCTTGCCACTTGATGAAATTGCAACCACTAATGAAGCATTTGGACGACCTTAGTTGTGTGCCTAACAAAAAATATACTGGAGCGCAACCCACACGGTGGAACGGAGCAAATCCAGCTTCGAATTCTCCGTTCCTGCTGTAATTAAAAACCACTGTATTCCTGGGAAAATGTGGGCACATCATTGTTGAGCACTTTCGAGAGTGACCAGGTAATCTAATCATATTGTCAGAGTGACCTTATGAGAGCCCGCACTCAGAAATGCTTCCCATGGAAAAGCGCTGAGCAATCAGCATAAAGCTGCTTAGCAGGAATATAGCAGGATTGGAAAAAAAATCCCGACGCCCATTATGTGTGTGCGTCGCCTGTCTTCGTATACGCACGTGTGCAGTATGCATATAAACCACACCCGTTGCGAAGGAGAGGCATTGAGCCTTCACAAACAAGCCGAGCAAAAACTGGTACAATGAAGGCTTATGAGGCCTATACGTTGTTTAGTCCCCCATCAAAACACGCCTAAATGCTGAACTTGCACGGAAACTAGCACTAGCAGAACGGTATGCCTAGACATAATACCAGGAGGTCCGTGAACCTACTGACACGTCGCCCTAGAAGACGCATGAACAAAGGGTAGGGCGTCAACGCACGGGCTATTTGGCACGAGCGAGACTCTTGCGTCGAGGTCGAGAAAGTTGTAACTCCAGCGCCTCAGGTACGCTGCTTTTGCTTGCTCATGGTTCCTTGAGTGAGATAAATTGTTGACAGCACCAAGAGGCTGTACAGACGTAACCATTGGCTACGAGGAACACTTAACACATCGGAACTTCGGCGACATCAAGGAACGAAATGACATGGGGACG